CTATTTGCAACTTTTTGAGAAAGCGCCATACTGCTTTCCACAGGGGTTGCACCATTTTACACTCCCACCAACAGTGAATCAGGGTTCCAATTTCTCCACAACCTCACCAGCATTTGTTGCTTGCTGTTTTGTTAAATTTTGCTATTTTGACTGGTCTACCAATCATTTGGTCTGATGTTCATTGCAAGAGTCACAGACTTTACTCACAGGTACGCAGTTTAGTGGGGAAACAGGTTGGAGAGTGAGTGTGGCAAAGAGTATCTCACAACGCAAATCCAGATTTGGTCCAGCAGTCTCAAGCCAGAGTAACAAGGAACAATTTCTCAATTAGTGAAAGTCCAGGTTCAGTTTAATATCACAAATGCAAGAACCCTCTGCTTTCTTCAGTCATCCAGCAAACATTATCTCAGAGCAGTTATAAGTCACCCTTTCATTCAAATATCCAGCAAGCAAAACCTTTAACTGTGGCCTTTATCTCAGAGCAATTCCAAGTCAGCTTTTTAGTCAATTATCCAGAAAGCCAAACCTTTGTCTGTAGCCTTTATGTCCAGGGTTCCTCTGGTTACACCTTGCCACGGTCTCTTTAAAATTTCTCCACCACCATTGTTGCCCTCTCTCATTGTGTGAAAAGAACACTCTTATATTGCTTCTGTGGCTGTTGATGATTTGCAAGACCATGTGTCTGCAGTTAAGGTAGATAGAGATCATTCTCCCTCTACAGGGGGTTAACACAATGTCTAGAAAAGCCAATTTCTGAGGGTTCTCACACACCATAAACCAAACCAATCCTCTGCAATTGGGCCAATCCAGATTATAAGCAACCATCCATAGGGTTACAAGGCTGTAAATATTATGAAGTAGATTGAACATCTTTCCTGTGGGAGCAGTTGGTACATCGTAAGTGCTAACCTTTTGGTTAGCAGGATGATATGTTACACATTACACTACCAAGGTTCCTTTTGTGAGTTGCTATGACTTTGCAAAGCTTCTGTACTAAAATTAGAACACAGAAAATTAGAGACGTACATAAGAAATTGTAAGATGTAGCTCTAGACTGGAATCATTCTAACATCAAAAATGGTGTTTTTTTAAAAAGTAGAATCTTAAGAAGCTTAAAAAAATTTTTTTTAGAAAAAATTAAAAATACAGAATGTATGTGTCAGTTTCAGAAATTGAAAGTTCTTATTTTCCTGTGATTTTAAGTAATCTAGTTTTTAACCCAACTGTGCTAAGATTTTATGTAGTTGGCTAAAACATTATACATAATAAGCACTAAAATAGGCTTTTACATGATATAATTTAGTAAATCATGATACACAGCTTGTTGTTTTTATTATTGTCATTGGAAACAACTCACAGCTGACCCGCCAGCATTTTCGTAGCCAGTAAATCACCTAAGAGGGGAGGACTCATCTTTGTCTGGTGAAGCAGCTGGTGGATTCGAAACGTGTGCCTCTGGGTTGGCAGTAGAACTTCTTACCACTGAGCCACCAAAGATCCTTACTCACAAATAAAAAAAAAAAACATATTTAAATTCTCAAACTCCTACTCCATTCAGTCCTTGCCTTCTTGAGAATTCCAAGGATAGCCTTTTCTCTGGTTGAGCACTAAGGTGAGTTCTTTTA